AACATATGTGATTACCTAACGTGTAATTACTTAATAACAACCTCAAACATAAGAATGGACAGCTTCATTCTTTTTCCAATATTAAATATTCACAACCCTTTATGCAAAGTAGATGATTGGAATGCCTCTTAACAGTGGCCTGTGTGCCTAATGTTTCTTTATGACTTTAGAAGCTTTTTTTTTTCTGTTTAGATGTCATTGTTGTAACTGGAACCATAGGCCAAGCCTGTGCATATGCACAGTGCCCCACAGATCAGGGCTGGTAATGACGGCAGTTGCTTTTAGTGACAAAATTGTAACTTTGCAGGTGCAATCTTCAGTGGCAGTTGGCACTCCAGACTACATCTCTCCAGAAATTTTGCAGGCCATGGAAGATGGAAAAGGGAAGTATGGGCCTGAGTGTGACTGGTGGTCCCTAGGCGTTTGCATGTATGAAATGCTGTATGGGGAAACGCCCTTTTATGCAGAGTCCTTGGTGGAGACCTATGGGAAAATAATGAACCACAAAGTTAGTGCACTTTCTCTTTCCATCTCTCTCTAAGCTAATTTTTAATAAGGGATAACTTATAGGCTTGTTTAAAAATGAGTTCTTATGTAATAATTATATTCATGTTCATAAAAGTAAAACGTAAAATGTGTTTCCATGTAGTAAATTTATAGTTAAGGGTTGCAGATGGCTTTGCTATAGGATAAAGCTGTTCAAAACTAAAAATCTGGATTTGGAAAAGTGGCTGTTAGCCGTCTCTAAGGAGCAAGTCTTGGCTGCATTACATCACTCCATTTGCTTGACTTTCTTCTGGCAGATCCATTTATTGGCTTATGCAGTAAATTCTTAAATGTTCTTCCACCTGGATGTAGTTGCAGAGTCCAAAAGGAGACTTTTAAATTCTTAAGAGAAATTTAAATAAACAAGAAAAAAATAAAAGACACATTTTCAATAGTTTCTGTCTTTAGGGGAAGTCTTTTTTCCAGAAACCTTAATACATTTGTTTAAGAACCTGAATATTGGTATATTTTTTTTCTGCACTATAATTTTCATTAAGAAGAGTGAGTTTGCAGCCTTCTCTTGGTAATAAGCTATTTTCTCTTATTTTAATCTTTAAGGAGAGATTTCAGTTTCCTGCTCAAGTGGCGGATGTCTCTGAAAGTGCAAAGGACCTCATTCGAAGGCTCATTTGTAGCAGAGAACATCGACTTGGACAGAATGGGATAGAGGACTTTAAGAATCATCCTTTTTTTGCTGGGATTGACTGGGATAATATTAGAAACTGTGAGGCACCTTACATCCCAGAAGTCAGCAGCCCCACTGATACGTCAAACTTTGATGTGGATGACGATTGCTTAAAAAATTCTGTAAGTACAGAACTAATATTTTGACAAATCTGCTTTTGTAATATACAACAAAACATACTTAAGTGGCAGTTTATTTCAGCACTGTTTTTATATTCTGTGGAGTAAGTAAATGATCTTTTAAAAAAATAGTGGGGGGAGTATACTCCTAGTGTAGAGACTGACTCTCCCAGGCCTGGATGTGTGAGGATAAATTCAGGGTTTCTTTAGTTTTGTAGAAGTCACCTTAACTTTACACACGCTTTAACTAACACATACATCTGTTATTTGCTGTAAAAAATTCTTAGTGCCCAGGTCTTTTGGAGAATGATACATCTATAAATAGTTTGCAAGGCACAGTATTTCCAGCACAGCATTGTTGACCCTCATGCTAAGCTTGCGTAATGCATTTTAGTGTAGTCCTTTGTTCATAATTGCTCACAGGTCTGCCAGATTTTTGTTCAGTTCATCCTGACTAAAATTTTCCAAGCTTGGTTTCTGACTCAGGTGGAGTTTTTGGAAAGTTTCAGGCTAAGTGGTTCGACTATTTTTCAAGAGTAAGCCTTGCGAGAGCAAAATAATTTTGCCTTTGCTAAAAAAATCCTTTCCAGGATTGATTTTTAAGAGTTTTAGTGTTTCTGTGCTTTTGAACAGCTACTTTGACAGATGATAGGGGTCGTAGCATGAGAGGAATGCCTTGCGTTGTGTCCCTGGAAATACATTTATATTCATTGGAAGCTGCAGATATCTGTTGTTTGCTTGTAAGCTGAGGCATTGTCCTTACTCCTGCTTTTGTTTGCTGCTCCACCCTGTGCATCTGACTTCCACAGAGCTTCCTGGGCCTCCGGAGGGGCTGTGGGCAGTGCGGGTTGTCGCAGGCATGGTGGTGCTTGTACACCCGCTGCCCCAGCTGCACAGCCACACTGGGAAACACCTTTGCCAGCTGAGATCCAGTGGTCACCGAAATGTGTGGTGTGAACCTGCTGGTTTCAGAGTCCTGTTGTGTAGACAGCCTAGCAAACCACTCAGGTTGCATGAGGAAACTTGCAATTTTTCCCTCTTTTTCCTCAATTTTTATACTGAGTACCAAAATTTCCAGGAGAGGTAGAAAAGCTCTTAGATTCAAGCATTTGAAAGGTAATGAATTCTGTGTTTTACAACGAAGTCCTCATGCTCAGTAATTCTCCATTTCCATTTGGTATTGCCCATTTCCCAGCATGACTAAGGTATTTTTTGTCTTTTGAATACAGTCTTTTTTGCAGTTACTCAGGTTATTTTTCCCAGGGCAGATATCAGAATTTGGGGGCAGGAACGGATGCGGTATGTAGCAACTCGTCCATACTCATGAGGCTGTACTCTTCTGGGGGGTTAATGACACTGCCTAAAGTTGTCCAGTTTAAGAGTCTTCCTTTTGAGAGCCTCAGTGCCAAGCCGAGGCACTCAGAGGGTGCCTGGAGCTTCAGCAGTGCAACTTTTGTAGCTGGACTTGTAAGATGCAGTTACAGGATGCCAGGCTCTTCGATACTTGGACAGTTCTGTTTTCTTTTGTTCCTAAATTCTTGTGAAAACATCTATGTATTTATTCTTTCCAAAATTCCCACTTTGCCTTGTTTTAATCAAAATGAAGACCTTTACCATGACTTTGAAGTTTCCTAGCTTTTGCTTTGTTTTGTTTTTGATGTGGTTTGCTTTGCTTTGCTTTGCTTTTTAGGTCACAGTCACATATCAAGGCTTCAGTGGGTGCATAATGAAAAAAAAATCTAATGGCATTTTCATATATGCATATATAGCATGGGAATGAAGAAAGATAGACTTAGATGCAGGGACAAGATGTTTCTGAGCAAATATAATCCACAGTTGTTTATATGGTAACTAAAAATCATCTGTCATGGAGTTTTACAATACCAAACTTACAGTAGTTATTTCTATAGGAGCTTGTGATATATGAGAACAAAATAGAATAGGGAAGTAAATTTTTTTTTTGCATATGAACTACTTTTTTCCATTAGGTGGTGGTGTTATAGTACAGATACTGATAAATGTCTTAATGTGTATAATGCTTGTATTTTATTTATATACAGGTTTTGTCATTTCCACACTGAATCAGACTTGATATTTTTATTAACAGTTAGTGAATAATTATGACTTTATAACTTGGTTTTGTCCTTAATTACCAAAATATCCAGCAGTGTAGACTTGGAGCCTAGCCGTGTCATCGGTACTGCTTTTTATTTATGCTGCAATCCTTGTGATGTAAAGATTTTTTTAAAAAAATCTACTGAAAGGTGAAGGTTTTGATGTAAGATGCAAGATGAATAACGAAAATGTAACTCTGGATTTCTTTTGAATTTTTTTAACCTTTTTTCTAGT